TCTAGTGTGAAATGGGTGTTATAATACTTACCAGTCAGTTTAGATGAGGGCAGTTTAGCTTTAGGGTGACAGCTTTATCCAGCTTGTGATGTTCGTCTGCTCATTGGTTTCACTGACAGTTTGACTTAGCAGGAGGAAGAATCTTGCTCTAAGATTTTTGTTCTCTTTTCGTGGGCAAGTCAGTAGTAGTGTCCTTATGTATAATTACTTGCTAGTTCTTGGACAGGAGAGGATGTGTTGGAAACATACACTGTCTGAACAGGTGTTCAGTGACTCCTCCAAGAAGAAAGCAGTGAGTACGCTGGAGGTGTGACACAGCAAGCTGGAGGATCCAGCCCTTTGGACAGTTTTGAACTATATTATGAGTTTGAAGTGAGGACCCTGTAATGGAAAACCACACCAATGGTTCTTTTAAGTTGCTAGTTGTGATGAGATGTCACACACAAAAGCTAAAGGAACTTCTTTACAAGGTTTATCCAAGGAGATGAACAGTCTTCTAATGTTAGTTTATCTGTTATCATTATCTGTTATCATTATCTGTTATCATTATCTGTTATCATTATCTGTTATCATTTGTTCTTCCAAGACCTTTTTCTGCATCTTCAAGTGCAAAGTGTATCTGTATTTGCAGGCATGTTTTACCTATGAAGTAAAAAGAAATATGATAGAAGGTCAGAGGGACTCTGAAGAGATCCACCATAGAGAAGATTCAGGTTAACCAGGCTATTTATAACTGGAAAGTCTCACCTAGAAGTTTGAAATTAATGCATTGGAAAAGGTAGCAAAAGGTACAAAAAGCACATGAATGGTGCGTTCAGATCAGACCATCTACACCCGCATTGAGGCCTGCATGTGGTTTCTTGCCAAGAGCATTCAGTGCCTGTCAGTCAGCAGATCTCATTATTCTGTGTCTTTATCCTCCAGAATTCTGTGTGTCAGTCTTCCTGGTCACTTACACTTCCCAGCTTTTGAGGTGGCATTGTTTGCTAAGACGGTGACATAAGACGCAGTCTGATACTTGTGTGTGGAGGGATCCTTAGTCATCTGTTTGGATGAGAGGCACCTAGCCTGGTTCTGAAGTCTATCTGTGAAGACACTACAGGGAAGAAAGAATATATTATAGGGATCCTTTTCGTCCTAAGGTAGACCTTCTACATTGCTGTTTATCAGCTGGTTTTTAGACCTCCCTGTTTTTTGCTTGGGTACAAATTTACAATAGCTAGGGATTGGTGAGATTTCACTTTATGCTTTGTAATTCAGAGTATCTAATGCAAACTTCAATGGTGCATTGAATACAGGTGATATTTTCTATACACAGGAATTATAGGCTGTTTAAGTGCTTGTAATTTCCTGAACACCAGTCCACCCAAGGATGAGTACCAATGTGCTGTGCTGGCACACCTTTCTTTTTGTGAGGACTGAGGACCTGGGGTTGAAAAAGAAAGGGAAACATCAATGTTATTAAGGGTACTGTTAGTTCTGTCTCTATATGTCATGTGTCCTAAGGACAGTTAACATAGTTTTTGCTAATGCAATCTCACCTTGACTGCTGTGTCCAGTTCTAGACTTCTCAGTACAAAAGAGCCATGTAGCTCCTGGAGCTAGACTAGCAAAGGGCTATGAAGAAGATCAGGGTACTGGAGCATGTCACTTATGAGGAAACGTTTATGAGGGAGCTGGACCTGTTTAAACTGGAGAGGAGAAGACTAAGAGGGGAATCTTATCAATGTATATAGACAGCCGAAGTGAGGGTGTCAAGAGGGAGGAGCCAGACTCCTCTTGGTGGTGCTGAGCAATAGAAAGAGAGGTAATGGGCAGAAACTGATGTACAGAAAGTTCCACCTGAACATGAGGAGGAACTCCTTTACTGTGTGGTTGACTGAGCACTGGAACAGGCTGCCCAGAGAGGTTGTAGAGTCTCCCTTGCTGGAGATACTCAAAAGCTATCTGGACAGAATCCTTAGTAACATGCTCTAAGGGACTCTGCTTAAGCAGGGAGGTTGGACTAGATGACCTCCAGTGGTCCTTTCCAACCCTACCCATCCACAGCTTCTGTGTGATTCGGTGAACATGCATCAGCCTTTTGTCAACTGACATAGAGTGAAATTACAAAAATAAATGGAATGCTTGAATAAGTAGATGAGTCAGTTAAATATAAGTGTGCTCTACTTAGATGTCCTTACTATGCTCAAGGCTCAGAAATTATTCTTCTGCACACAACTGCAAACACAGAATTTTTTAGTATGTTTTAATGTACAATGTGATAGCATTATAGTTTCTGCAGTTTCTGTGTTCAATTTGTCAGCCTTAGTTTGTCTCATTCAGACAGAGACTTCTGTAAACGTTGCACGTACTGCTTTGAGACACTGTGTGCACAAATGCAGTCATATTTCATTCCCTTATTGATTAAAATAACTTTACTGTTTGATAGTCCTCTTAACCGTGTAGAGTCAAGATAGCAAGGAAAGTGTGGGCTGTGTTCTTTCTTGCTTATGATTTTAATCACTTTCTGAATTAAACATATGCAAACTTATTCAGGGAGGGGAGCACCATGAAAAGTCTCATTTGCCATATTCAGTTGCTAGTAAAGGAAATAATGCTGCAAATAATTTGAATTCTTGAACTTCAGGTTGTGTTTGCCAGACTAGCAGTTGTACCATAGAAAGAGAAAAATACTCACTTTATAGGGCATTGGTATAAGTCAGTACAAGCTGACTGTGAATAAATTTTATCTGTAATCCAGCTCAGAGTGAAAAGGAAAATAGGAGAGAAACATCTATTACACCCTCAACAGCAGCTTCTTGAGCATACTGGCTTTCATCTGTGGAAGAAGCCATGCAAATTGTCCATGAGCACAATTTTAACTCATATATTTCAGAAACCAGAGGGTTTTTGTACAGAGAGTTGGTATTTGTGGCAGCCGAAACTCTGCAATGTGCATTGGGTCTTTTTGGCATTTTTGCTTTTTCCCTTTGGATGAGAATTTGTTAGTCAAAAATAACTCTCAGTTAAGCTGCCTGTGGTTCTAGTGGGTGGTTTTTTGTTCATAGTCTCCATCCTTCATACCACGCCAATTATTAGATTCTTAAAAACAATTACTAATGAACCAGACTGCACATAAGCTTCTACACAAAGATCCAGGGGATGCTGAGCCAGCATCTTGAAAGAAGAATGTGAATAAAGGTGTGAAGCAACTAACGTGAGTGTATACACATAAGGCACAAATTTCCAATTTTGTTGGAAAAAAAGCATTTATAAGCTTTTCGTCCAAGTATTGAAAGATCCTTGTTCTACAAATATACAGAAAACTCAAGGAGTCTAAATTATTTAGCTGTGACCTGTGCTTTTAGGGAAAGGTATATTCATTTTGTGAAATTAACCCTACATTTCAGTGTTGGCTGAAAAGTGTAACCCTGTGCTTAGTGAAATGAGGAACTAAGGTGGCTTCCACGTTATTCTTTGTGATGCTGTTGGAAAGAGGTTGTCTTGGCAAAACCAGCAAATTATTCGAATGCCAGAGTTTTAGCGAACAATAGGGAGATTGCATTTCCTTGGTACATTACATATGCCGTTCAGTTTTTGGACTTGTTTATAATACTATGTAAGGCAGAGATTGGCAGCTTTTCAGGAGTGAGGTGCCAGATAGTATTTTTCTTTCACAAATTAGAGGTTAAGAGCGCTGGTTGAAAACATTCAAATGCACTGTCAGGCGGTGTTTGGAAACGGCTGGCTGTCAGGCAGGCAAGGTGCCACCCGGCAGGAGGTGGATGGCATGAGGGGCAGGGCTCCCTGTCCCAGTGCTGCCAGAGCCAGGAGTACTCTCGGAATGCCAAAGCTTCTGGTGCTCTGGCCAGTGATGCCAAGGTTGTATGCCTCTGGATATCTACCCACCTCTTTCTTTGCTGTGTACACGAAGGATTGGAAACTGCAGGCCCAGTAGTAAAGTCTCTCTCAAGCATCATAAATTGTCTGTTGTAGTGGCTGTTAGTGTGAAGTTTGACATAAATTTCCTGTGCATGGTTGGCTTAATGTCACTCTACATTTTTCTGTAACAGATACTTTTGACACTAGATGACCACAGTGAAACCAAAGCTAATCAACTGACCAGTAATGTCCTCTGGCACATTGCATTTTTTTAAAATAGGGATGAGCATGAATGGTTTTGAGGAAATAATATTTGAACCCCCTGAGCATATGGAAAAAGATGCTCTTTGTGAAGTGATGTGGAATATTCTAATGTCTCTATTGATTTTGCAGGCTGTAGAAGTAATTTGCAGAAGTAATACAATAATACACTAATACAGTATATGTTAGTAACCTGTAGGCTTACTTTACTTTAGAATCTAACCTCTGACAAAGAGCTCTAGCTGTTGGAAGTACTAATTATCAGATAACCTGTAGCCATGTCTGAACAGTCTGAACACTACACTTGATTCAAACCTAGTGCAAGTTTGCATGAGTTGGCCTCTTTTTGTTACCATTCCTACAAAGTCACTGGTGTTGTGTCTAGTGTGACATGTTTCAAGACTGTCAGTGCTTGTATCAGAAGGCATCCAGGTCTGGTCTGATGACAGGCAGCTGCCTCTTGATTTTAGGACAAGGCTTATTGTTAAATTAAAAGCTTTCAAATGTAGTTATGGCACGAGACAGTTACTGTGTAGATATTCCCAGAGTACCACCTCTGCAACCTGTCAGCATATGGACCACATTGTCTTCTATCCGTCGTCATATGACAGTAGATAATTTTTCTCATTTAGAAAATATAAATGGTTTCTACATAGAAAAAGTTATGATGAAAATATTTAAATTATTTTTATTACTTCATATCTTATCTCTTATTTTGATTATTGCATTATAAAAAACATGGCATCACTTTCTTCCTTAAAAGCATATAAATGTGTGACTACTTTGAAGTAGTAGTATGTACTAAATAATCAAAATATTTAGCAATATAATTAATAATACACATTTTAATGGGATTTCATATTTTCTTTACCTAGGAGCTGTGATCATCTCCACGCCACAAGATGTGGCTTTATTGGATGCACGCAAAGGAGCTGAAATGTTTAGAAAAGTCCACGTACCTGTAAGCCTCTATGTTAAAAATATCAGTAGATTTTTCTTCCCCAAAATATAAAAAAAATTTCATATAAGGCAATAGATGAACATTCAGGAATCATTTGAATTTTGTAGATTCTTGTTAAAAGAATTGGAATACAGCTTATATCTTGGAACTTGCTTTAACAGAAAGGAAAGATTTTTTTCTTAGGCTGATTTCTTTTAAATCAGTTTGTTTAATCATGTGGAATGGATCAGGTTGCTAAATGGAGTATCTTATGAAGTAATGTGTGCTTTTCAATTAAACCTGTCTTACTATCTCCACATTATATGTCCTCTTCATCACTGTCTGAAATTTCTTGAAATGTAGAAAAATCATATATTGGTATATTCTAAGAAGATTTAAGTTTTTGGGGAGATAAAGCATGTTTAGAACTGTCACTTTGGCATTTGAAGGGCTCTGTGACTATCATGACAAGTAGAACGCTATATAATCACTATTTTTCATGAGCTTTGTAGCTTATATCTTGGCTTGCTTATTTGGGAAATACAAAATTTAAGAATATCCACAATTAGGAGAAAATATTAAACAGGCTGACATCTTTGACTAGATATCTTCTATGTGTGCTACAAGTATCTAAGTCACTGAATGTTATACTCCAGAATATGTTTATGTAGAGATTAATTTTTCCTTTGAAATGGGCATTCATGAAAAAATAAAAACTGAAATGCTTCCTTATCATAAACTGTAAAGAAAAAAAGATGATTTCTTGCTTACCTGTGTGAAGATTACTTTTACTCTTTATTAAGAAAGGAAATTTCTTTCATAGCTAGTGCTTTGTTAATTTAAAAAATGCAGCAGAAAGTTGAAGTGACTGCTTTCCCTTTTTTTTTAATTTACAGAATAGCTTAACAAAAGAAATACTTTGATAAATTCACTATTATTAACTATTCCTTAAGCATATTTGCATCAAAATAAAAATATAGTAGCATTTATAACTTGCTGCTGGAAGGAAAAAAAGAAGAATAACATATGGAATGTTTTGTTTTGATTCTATGTTTGGGTTTGCTAAAATTATGTAACATAATTTTCTTCAATTTACATTGTGTTCAAGTTAGCACTTTGCTGAATTTTGCTTTTGTTTTAATGAGAAATTACCAAGATTGCTTTCTAAGACTGTTTTGTTCAATGTTTTTGAAGAGAATGGCCTCTAAGAAAGTCATGCATTCTAGGATAGGCTTAGCTGACATTAATTTGACTAGTAGATAAGATATTAAGTATCGTCTATTTTGGTTCATTGGAATTTTCGGATCTTGTTAAATCAAATGAAAGTACCAGTAAAGCTGTTATGCCAGATGTTGAGTTTGAGTGGGCTTGAACCAGTCATGAGGTCTTGGTTTTTCATGATGCTGCTTCATTTTATTCTGCCTTTGAATGTACGTGAGTACAGGTGCATCATTTACTTCTGTTTTAAAGCAACTCCTACCTATGTATTCCATTTCTAAGTGTCAGCTAAATCTGAGGATCTAAAGAAAATGTAGTTACATAATTTTTGATGGAAAACGTCAAACCTGAGGTTTACGTCAAAGAGGTGGAATCTGTGGGACTGTGCTAAAATTATGTATCCTGATTATATAATTGACTGATCTTTAAAATTCTGATCTCTAAAATCTTTAATCTTTAAAAAAGTGCTTGCAAAGATTTTATTTTTCAAAGAAGCAGAGAGTACATAGGTTGCAGAATTATACTTTTTTATATTTAATGAACTGCAGTCTCTCCCGTGTACACATAGGTCTGCATATACCACCTGCCTCTCATACCTACTGTCATGAGTTATCAAAGACTCAGATGACACATGTAGTGTTACCACAGTAAAGTCACAGTCGTTAATGTTGTTTGTTTGTCCTTTACAGTATCAAAATTAAAGTAGAATAACTGAAGGAACTGATGAAAAGCTGGCAATGAGAGCGTTAAAACCAGGATTACAGCACAAAATTTTCAGTCCTAGGACATGGTCGTTAAAAGAGGAATGTCATCTCTTGTGCAGTGCAGCACACCTACACTTCCAGTACAGAAGGAGTTTTGCTAAGTGGTGCTGACTCCTATCAGAACAAGTTTTTAAGATTCTTGCTCATTATGTGAGTTTGGTCAACGTTTTCTTGCATTCCAGAGGGTGACTCAGAGTGAGTAACTTTGAGTATTTAGGAAAAAAATTGCCTATTTTCACCTGCTGAAGTTGAGTTCAGTTCAGTATGGTTTATCTCATCAATCATATCCCTGAAAGAAAAAGACAGGGTTTTAGCTAAATCTGCAACTTTTTTGGAAGGTTACGTTGTGGATCTTTTAGGTTTCAAAAAACTGCTTAGATAAACTCAGCTATGTATTTCCTTTTAAGTTATACTAAAATTGCTTGTTTGGCTATGTTCTTTCTGGTATATCTGTAGTATCCAGAGTAGCCAGCCAAGATTATTGCTTCATACTGGGAGCAGATGTTAGAGCCAAAAATTGCTCATTATAAGATGAAAGGTAGGAAGACAGAAATATTGTACATGTTTACTTGAAGCACTACAGTGTGAAGTGACTGACTCGTGGTTACGTAGGAAGTTGATGGCAGACTGAGGAACCGTAACCCATCAGATTGAAGTCAGACCTCAGCACCATCCATCCTTGAGTACAGTGAATGACTTGAGTTTATTGTCTCCTGGTGTAAATACTGAGAGCTTTCATTTTCTTACTGTGTTTTCTCTAACTTAGAAGGTAGTATATTTGGATTTAGGCATGGTTTATTGTGTAACCAAAAGGTTAGTTAAGCACAAGAAATATGTAAACATTCAGAAACTGTGTGCAGATAACTCATAATGAAAGGTTTCTTCATTTCATGTTATTTCTTGATAGATGTCTCTTCACCATTTAAAATAACAACTTGACTAAATGAAATTCAGTTCCATGCATTATAACCATACTCTCCTCTGCTGCAATAGATTAACTCCTGCATTATGATTCATATAGTAAATACTAGTTTTCATGTCATTACTGAGCCAAGTTTGCCAAGAAATGTACAGGAAAAGGAGCTCACTAAGGACTGGAATAGTATTCTCACATGCTTACGGGATAGTTTGTGTAACAGCTGCTTTGAATCTATTAGAAGTCTATTATTTGAGCAGGGAAATGAGAGTTATTACTGACTTCATTAGCAAGACGCATTACTTTGTAGGTTTAAAAACTCTGAAGATCGTAGTGAACTCTTTTTCTTCTCTAAATATGTGTGCAAAAATATGCATGGTAAAAATACTTCAGCAGGAAAGTTGTGTGTTTGCACAAATTCTGTATTAAAGTTAGTATTTTTAAGTTGCATCTTAATATTAAAAAAAAATCTTCATACTCCAGAAGAATAATTTATGTATTAATAAATATGCAATACTCATTGGTTGACAAACAGGACCAACACTAAAAGATTATTGTGTAATGCTAGAACATTATTTGCTTTTAGTAAGGTTTGTTGAAATGGAAAGAAAAAGGACAGTAAATAAGGCCTCTAAAACTGATAAAGCATTGGAGATACAGCTGTATCTCAGCATTTGCATTAACTGTGGCAGAAGGACTTCTTAGTTATTAGGTTATCAAAGAATTAACAACATGGTTGTAAGAGTCCTTAACTATTCACAAAACAATAGTAGACTACAAAACTTTTTCTTTGATTGTAAATTTGCTGAATTATAAATGTCGTGTGACTACTTTGAAGAGAACAGAAAGTTCAAACTCAAAGATACCTGAAAATGAATTAATTAAAGTGTACATTTCAAATTATCTTTTTTTTTTCTCCTGTGCTGTCAAAAATGGCTTCCCTGTATCCTGGTGAAAATAATATTTTTCTTTTGCCAAATCATACTCCTTCCTGTGTCCTTCATTTACCATCACAGTGAAAATTCCATGACTCGACTTTAAGGAGAGCAGGATGAATGCCTGCTCAATGGTCATCCATAGAAGGCTGTGGCTGTAGAGATCCCTTGGACACGTAGTATGTCGTGTCTCTCCTGGTTTAAGAACTGGATGAGAAAATTACCTACAACAATGTGCCAGTAAATAGAAACTTGTTCCTCTTGCTCCTCTCACAGTCTCTGGGAGAGAGTAGAAGGTGGGGAAAGTCAGTTTGTGGTATTAAATTGAAAATGGGTAATTTTTTTTTAAATATTTTTATTATTTCTTAAAATGTTGCTTGCTTAAAACCCTCTGAGAGTTTTCTTTACATAAGTAAAGAAAATACACCTCATGGTGGTATAGAAAAAAACATCTTTTGATAATTTTAGCTTTTGATAAATTTAGCTTATAGATAAGGAAATTTTTATTAGGATATTGTAAATAACATGCTTTTTTATTTTTAAGTTTGGTGCCAGGAGTTGTACATTCACTTTTAATTAAATAACTATATTTGTTGGTTGCATTGAACACTGGTGCATCCTTTTAGATATGCTTCATTAGTGTAGTGATTATGTTTCTTCTCTAATAACTAGACCAGCTTGTTCAAGCACAAAACTAGAAGGCTCAGGGAAATGTAGAAGTACAAAGTGCTACAAAGTAAATAACAATATAAAATATATATTCATGTTTTTAAAACTTGGCCACAGTTTGTGTGACATATCTAGATAGCATATAAATCTGAAAATGAAGTATTGTAACATGTAACCTTTAAGCAGGTCTTGTGTTAATTAACAGATGGGTAGGAACTTTCACCCTGTAGCATTTGAATGCTGTTTTATCACTTCTGGAAATTCTCCTCTGCCTTAGTGAAGAGTTTTGTTTACTAGGTGGACAAAATGACATCAGTGCTATCATTAGCATTATTGTATATTGTGAAAGAATATTTTTTTGTGAGAATGATTTCTCACAAAATCATGAGAATTTTCATTTGGCATATTTTGTAAGGATGATGTTAAACACCTGGCTTCAACAGAAAGGTATCCAGGACGTGTGTATTAGATTGTTATGCTGTGGTTTTTGCCACTTAGTTTCACATAACTATTTCTTATGTTTGATCTTTAAAATGTGTTTCTGCTCTTAGAAGAATAGCAAATCTGGTTTTTTTGGAAAACATTTCCCTACAGGACAATTTATAAAAATACCTTAAAAGCATATCTGATTGTGTAATTCCTCGTAATGGTGTGGTTTTATTTTGTGTTTCCTAAAACTGCACAGTACAAAACTGTAAAACACAGCATGGAAATTCTTCCAGTATTCAGAGTTTGAAAATTAAATACTGGCAGGGAGGGTTCTTGGCAAGATAGGCTTGTGCAAGAGGTACTTTTCATTACAAATAAATCTGTTAGTCTTTGAGAGGTATAAATGTGATAAAATTGAAATAATGCACAAATGATGGTGCAACTGAGATGACTAATAAGAGCTGAAAATGATGTTAATGAGTCTGATTCCTATTTTAAATGAGTACTCTGTGTGAATTTATAGTTGATAATCTATTCTTTATTGTCAGAGATGAATAATGGAAATACCAGTGCTTGAATGCCAGGTTTGAACATCCTTTCCTTTACTTTAACAGGTTTTAGGACTGGTTCAGAATATGAGTGTTTTCCAGTGTCCTAAATGTAAGCATGAGACACATATCTTTGGAGCTGACGGTGTAAGAGATCTAGCAAAAACCCTTGGGTTGGATATTTTGGGTAAGAATATAGAAATGTTTTTATTTTTCAAGAAAAATTGAATGGTGTGTGTGAAGCATGAACTGAAATATAGAACTGCATAATCCTAGATTACTCTATATTCAGACAGTGTTCAGATATAATAGAACTAATAAGTAGTATGCTATATTCCTTGTCGTTCTTGTAATGGCAATGCTGACTGATTATGAAAATTCTTGAATTGTATCTTAAATCTCTTTGTATTTACCAGCAATCCAGAACGTGAATTGTTTTGATATCAGTGTGCTGTATTACCTGAAATTGATTATACAGCAATTTTTACTAATAACCAAGAATTCTCTTTGGTTTTAGGACAGACCTAAACTCTGTCCAGTAATGTCAATAAATGTTTTCTCATTTATTTAATTTAAATTAAATGAGTTGTTACATATTGACTTGGTGGAGACCTTATAGCATCCTAAAGGGGCTTATAAGAAAGCTAGAGACTTTTTGCAAGGGCAGGCAATGATAGGGCAAGGGGGAATTACTTTAAACTGAAGGAGGGTGGATTTAGGTTAGATATTAGGAAGAAATTCTTTACTGTGAGGGTGGCGAGGCACTGGCACAGGTTGCCCAGAGCAGTTGTGGATGCTCCATCCCTGGAAGTGTTCAAGGCCAGGTTGGATGGGACTCTGAGCAACCTGGTCTAGTGGAAGGTGTCCCTGTCCATGGCAGGGGGTTTGGAACTAGGAGATCTTTAAGGTCCCTTCCAATTTCAACCATTCCATGATTCTGTGATTAGCCACAATTAAATGCATACTTGTAAGCTAAAATATGCATGAATCTTGAAAATATACATCGCTATTTTAAAAAGGCATGGTTCAACCTGTGCTGTAAGTAAAGAATATAACGCAACATAATTAAGTTGGTAAATGGGATAATTGCATGCACTAATGATGTGTTTCCATGTATTACTGTAATTATCTCAATGATTTTCCATAGCTAATTCATTAAAAGGAACCAGGAAGCTCACTTAGAGAGATCAACATAGAAACATCAAGGTCTGACATAGACATAAGATAGCAAGGCAACACATAATTAAAGACATGCTTTTGGGCTATCTTTTAGTTTTCTGAATATATAATGAGTTGTGATCGAGGCCCAAGGGGGCTTCTACAGTCCTGGTTATGTGGATGGATGCAAATGCTCTGCAAGCAGTTGAATCAAACATGCATTTAGATACACAGGCACAAATGATGTATCGTGCCATTGGTCCCATAGGTGATTTGTGTTATTTCCTACGAGGGAAGAACCGATCGTGATTGTGTTTAATTAGGAGTGATGTGAGAGATGTACAGATTTAGCAGGGGATAGATGAGATATATGAAGAAAATGAGAGTGAAGTTTAACTTCAAACTGTCAGTGAAGGACCACACTAAGATTAAGAATAGTGCCTCAAGGGTTAAATTTAGAATCACAGTGCTTGATCTGATTAGTGCACTCCTCCTTCCAGGGATGACCATTATATAATAATACCATATGGTATTGTAAGAATTACTGCTTACAGATTTTACATTAATCTATCCCAAATGGAAGTTTTATTTCAATGTTATTTGAATTCTGCCCCAAAGCCTTGAGAACTTATTTTTACATATATATATATATATGTAAAATATATATATAATATATATAAATATATATATAAATATATATAAATATATATATTTAAAATTAGTATTTCTAAATTTATTTTGGTTATATTTTGCAACATGGCTATTCTGTTTGTTTGAATAAGAATCTAGTGCTCTTTTGAAACCTGACAAGCTAGCATCTGACAAATTCCGCAAGGTAACAATGTGCGGGACTGAAAAGTATTTTCCTTCTACTTGCTCAGAGTCGGCTGCTATTAATTTTACTGAATACTTCATTTATTTTTGTTTGTGACAGAAGACAATTAGCAGTTGCCAGAACACTTTCAGGTGTAGTTTATTATTTCATATACTTCTGATTGTCTTGTCTTTTTATTGTTTCCTAAAGGAAAATGTGATAAGGTTTGTGAGAAAGAGTTTTGTGCTGCTGATTTTTCTCTCTCTTTCTCTGAAATTTTTTTTTCTGAAGTTTGGTGGCCATAACTGTGTTTTGTTTGTATTCCTGCTTCCTTTGCGTTCTGTTTTTTATTCTCTTAAGCTTTGTCAATTTTCATATAGTTTTTTTAATGTTTCTTTTTCTGCATACACTGAACCTCAATAATTTACACTGGCTTGGTTTGAGTTAAATAAATGTTGCTAAAGTGTACAAATTAAACTGATACAGTTTCTGACATCAGTCAGGGTTGAACTCAGGCTGTTCTGTCTGCGTCCATCCGTGATGTAAAATGTAGCTGTGTCTTCCATTGAAAGAAATTTGGTCTTCAATTCACTTTATAATTTTTTATGTAGCAGTGAACTAAACATAGGAACCTCCAAGTTTTTTGTAGTGCTGAAATCTGTGTTTTGGAAAGTATGTTTCAGAATGGAAAAGAGCTGCTAATTGACTCTCCTTTAGAATGTTCCTTTCCTCTCTGACAGTTCTCTGCTCATTATAAAAGCAGAATATAAAGAAGATTTCTGTTGGAAAGAAGAATGAGCTGAATAGCTGTCCATCTTTGAATTGAATCCAAGGCCTAATAAGGGCAATAACAACTGCTATTATTTGGAAATTTAGTATTCAAAGAAGTCTTTGAACAGTGATTAAAATCTTAAAACAGCACAGAAAAGAATATACGATGAGGAGATAGGCTGAAAAGTTGCATGATGAGCATTTTCCCAAAACTCAGGCAATTCATTTAATGTATGCAAAATAATTTGTATCTCAGCCTGTGTTTTTCTGTTTGTTTGAGGCAAAAAGCCCTGCCTTCTCTAATAAATGACAGTGCATGGTCCTTCCTATTCAGAGCATGAAAAGTCCAAAATAGTTTGGCATTATTTATGATGGATGTAAGGAAACCGTACTGCAGCCAGTATTCATTTTAAATGCTAATTCTTGGAGATTAAGTAATTCAAAGAATATACTGAACTGAAATTTGATATCAAGTTACTTCAGGGCTATTCTAAAGAAACATTTAAGAAGTATTAGGTCTTCACATATGTGTATCTTGCTATTTTTGATGCAGGAGACATTCCACTGCACGTTAATATACGGGAGTCGTGTGATTCAGGACAGCCTGTTGTGATCGCTCAGCCTCAAAGTGATGCTGTAAGTTTGGTGCATTGCACTTAAAGCAACAAAAAGCCCCCCTCCGAAAATGAGTGGAGAGGGCTTCTTGGTATTGCTGTTCGAAAAATGTGTGTCTGAATGGAACTTAAGGAAATAAGATAAAAGAAGGTAGTATCATGAAGTAACTCAAGCCCTTGATTTTGGAATGCTGGTCATCCGTTCTGCTTCTGTGGGTTTGGTTTTGTTTAATTAGGCTGAATCATTCGGTATAATGAAGATTTGATCCAGGTCCTGGCATGCCAAGAGGAGGAAGGTCAGTGTCAAGCCTCATGAGACCTTGCAGCTAATGTAGGTCCTCTAAAACTGTCAGTTGAGCCTTTGGTAGCTGAGCCTGGAAACTGTCAAAGGGTCCTATCCAAAGATGTTTGGAACAAAACCTGCGCATTGTCAGTACCTGAGTTGTTTTCAGCAGGAAGTGGAGCAATTTACACACAGGAGGAAATGGGTTTTTCTGTGCATTTACCGTAATATTTTCTTGCCTGTGGAAAGTAGGAATTGGTGAGGTGGTGAGAGTCAATTACACAAGTCTGTAAAGAAAAGTAGTTGTACGTACAGAACTTCATTAATACTGTTAGAGTAAGATTTTCCTGTCTGGTGTTTTCTTTCTCCTCTGCTGGAGTTTGTATGCCAGGCTCTGTAGGGCAGGGTGCTGTGCATAGTATATGGCATGATGCAGCCTGACTTTTGACTGCTGCTTTGATGTTATAGTGAAAAAAAGTGATTAATGCTGATAATAGGTGGTAGAATTAATTTGAGATAAGGTAGACTGTACCTATGGTACCTATTTATTTTTTAATATCATGATTGTTAGGCACATGCTGAAATACTTTTTTCCTTCCCAGTGTTTTAGAAGATTAAGAAAAAAGGGAGGACAGGATTAACATTGTCAATCCAGTGTTTAATAACACTGATTGGGATTCTGGAGGAACAGTGACAGTCTTAAAATTGTAATATGTCATTTTGTTTTGAGAGAGAAGCAGCAGCACTATTGCATGTTGATTTCTAATTGAACGCAATATTTTTGCTAGACTTGGGCAAGTCCCATGCTGTGGAATAATGCAGTGATCTTGAGTTCAGGTCCTTGTGAAAAGGAATTCTTATAATCCATGTGGTAGTTTCTCTCTGGGAAGTTTGATCAGCAGTGTGAAGGTTTGAATGGATGCATGGCTTTGGTCAAAGTTGAAATAAAACAGCTGAGCAAACTAAGATGGAAGGCTCACAGCTCTCAGTATCAGAAATCTGTAATAACCAAGGGTCTGTAGCTTGCTGGACTATTGATCTAAAAATTCAGACATGGAGAATAGCATTCTGAAAATAAAAAAAACACAAGAAAGTCTGTGTTGCCATCTGTTTGTCCTTGAACTATATTCTTGATAACAAAAGGATGGGTTATATTCACCATTTGTGGCAATTAAGTTAAATATGAAGAGGAATAAAGATTTACAAATATGTGTGACTCTGGGGAAAACTCTTTAATATCCTTCTCTGCCATTGTGTCTGTGAGATAATCATTCTTCTCAGAGAATGAGGTTTTCTTAAATGTCACTAATCTCTACAGAATAAAAAAGAATTTCCCTTTATCCCTGGTTTGCCTCTCATTTTAAAGACAGAAAAAATATTGTTGTTCTCTTATATTTTAAAAGAAAAAAAGAAAAATCAAATTCTTAGTACATAACTGATGGTGGAAGAGGTCATATAAGGTCAGATTCTAATCTTTAATACATGACACTCATCACCATGTTTCTCAAGTAAACTAAAATTGTGGCTATTCATGCATGAACAATCACAAGTTTTCAGATAGAGAACAATATCTGCTGAAATTATCCCTGCTCTTGTCTCTTAAATGTGCAGGGGATTTTTATGCAAAATTCTGAACTGATTTTGTTAGAACACACAAATCAAATACAGAATCATAGACCTGAAATAATACCCAGCAGATTCAAACAGTAGGGAATAAGGATGGTGATTTACTTTTTAGAAACCCAGCATAGTCACACCTTCTAAGCTCTGTCAAGCCTAGAATAAAGGATGTTTCTAAAATATGCCAGTTAATACTTTTTTTGCTTACACGTCTGCTGTGGGGTTCAACTTGCCTTGCATATATATGAAAGTATAGCTCTGACTCTACACTAGAATTTCAAAATGTGTAAGCAAAGTTGTGTAAACTCATTATTTTAAAGCTTAAATGTAGTTAGTGGAAAAGAGGTTTTACAAATGACCAGGAAATTGCTAACATCTAAAAAAGAAAATTACTTGTAGAACTGTGCATGTTTGAACTTAGAAAGTTGTTCCTCAGGGAAGGCACGGAATACACAAGAATAATCTACTTATGGAAAAGGCTGACAATATAGCTAAAGGATATGAAGGTTTAATGGCTGGAGTTCTCTTCTGGTGAAGCTTGAGGCAGTCCTCAGGGAGAAATAAACAGTGCTGGTAAAATGATTTTGCTCTTGGTATAACATTGCCTATGCTAGTGTTTCTGTCAGCTTAGTTGTTTAAATTGTGGCTTTTTCTTAGCACTCTTCACTGACAAAACTTTATGTGCTATAGAAAATTGAATATGGCTGTACTCGCATGTCAGCCTAAAGCAGCAGTTGAGAGTGACCAGAGGTCCTTTACAAAAAGCTAATAATTTCTTAGTTTAATCAACAGTGAGGACTTAACAGATCCTTCTGGAGATTAGTTGAGCATTTCTCTCCTCTATCAGGCTGTGAAGGTGGATTGGCTGACTAGGGCTTCATTTTTTTGCTCACTCAGACATACAAAAGAGTCTCTAAACAGCAAAAGCTAGTAAAGGAAAATCGTGAATGGTACTAAAATGGTAGAATGGGGGGAAAAAGTAGGGTAAAAGGTAGTCAGGAAAAACAAGTGAGGAGTCACTGAAACCAGGTGAAATTGATTATGCTCAGATGTAGGAAACCTCCTATGGACCGTGGGAAGGAGTCAGCAGCAAAACAGGTGTTTGGAAGAGGCGTCCTGAAGCTTGCAGATAAGAGGACTAGAAGCACAGCAAGACATACAGAACATGATTAATTGCAATACAGTCATTGTTCCACCAAATGAGTTGTTTAAATGCCCAGTGAATTCTCCATCAACACTGGGAGAAGAGATAGGGGTTGCTAAGATCTCTTCCATTTGTGAGTGCAAAACCCAGAGTGTGGTGGTTATCTTGTGCAGAATTCTTGCTAGAAGCTTTTGAGTGTACCACAGCCTTCATGGCACAGTGGATTTATTATTAATACCTTGGTAGAACAGACGGGCTGTCTTTGACTGTTGAGCACCAGACTCCCACCTGTCTTAAGGCTGAAGAAGCAGCTCAAACAAGTACGAAATACATTTGCTGTACCGGTGTGTTCAGTCACATCCTAAAAGTTGGGATAGACATTTCAGGGAAGTGACATGCTGGAGGCTGAAGCCAGCAGTAGATGTTGTCTCTCATCTTCTTGTCTTGGGAATGAGATGTTTAAAAAAAATATTGCGGAGGAGAGGTGATACACCTCTAAGGTTCATCAGGGATAATGTATTCAAGACAGCAGAGAAGTCATGAAAGAATGAAGTTTAGATATCACCTTTTCGCCCTTCTTCGTTATTGAAAAGATAGTGACACTTCATGACAAAATATAGAGAAGATGACTGCTTTTGGGGGGGAAAAAAAAAATCAAATTCCAGGAAACTCATAGTGGTCAGTTAGTTCCTTAGTGTTTTCTTGCCACATGTTGTTATGGAAAGCATTTGGAATCTATTATGGAAAAATACTGAGTTCACCCTCTTGTTCCATAAAAATCAGGTAGAGTATACTGGGAAAACAAGGAAAGGTGAAAAGAAGCAAAGCCAGTGCCTCTTCTCCTCGTGGCCTCAGAACATGGCCACCTCTCCAACTACAACAACTACTACAACCTTCTTTTCCAGTCTGGGTGATATGTTTATATTTTGCAGAAGCGCTCATTGGCTCAACCCCAAGGGTAACCACCCCCTGGGGGTTACCATTTTATAACTTCAGGGGGAAAACTGTTTTTTCCCCCACCACAATTATATATAGGCAGAGTGTTGGAATCCTCATATTGCACAGCCTTTTGCATGTGTGCATGAACTTATACGCAGTGTGGTGAGGAATTTATGACTTGGATAGAACAGCTAACCTTGTCCTGGAGCAAGGAAACCAGGACCTGTGGCTGAAAAACATGCTTAATGTCATCATATCCAGTTTGTGATCAAGACCAGTGTATAATACAGACCCCACATACTTCTTGAGGGAAGTTCTGTTACTATCTAGCACACATTTAACTATGTGGAATATATTCAGCACTCTTGCAGCTTTTGTATATTCATATATATTGGTGAAGGATTTTTAGTCCAAAAAATTGCACACTATCTGTAAGGGGAGAGGAAAAGCCCAGTCAGGTGGAAAGCAGGGACACAAGGCATCCGCAGTTTGACATAACAGAGCAAAATAAGTCTGGTTAAAAATCCCTTTTCACTTAGAGCAGAATGTTATAAGCCTTACTGTGGTGTCATCGAAGGAGACGGCCGAAATTTGTATTCGGAAACACTTTTCCTGTAGAACTCTCTGAAAGGGTCATGTGTAAGTAGGGTAAAAATGTACAGCCTTTTAAAGCTTGCAAGAAATAGTTGGAGAAAAATTGAAGTACTGGTAGCAAATAATCATAGAATCATATTTGGTGGTGTTTAGCTGTCATCAATAATGCCATTTAATGAGTGGTCAATCTATTGTGTAATATCTTTAAAGAAAAGCAAACCCCAAAGAAGGCTGCATGATATGATTTATAATATGCCTTATTATCAAGACTTCCTTTGAATGATCACAGTAACATTTGGTATGTGTAGGTTCAATTCCTTCATTTGGGGTATAGGTAGTACACTATCAGAACTTCATTTATGGTTCTCTCCGCTGAAGGCAATTCTGAGTGGTAGGTTAGTCTGTTTGAAGGATGTTACTGTGCTGCATTTGATTTGCACTGTTTTACTTAACCATGTTTTCTGGACAAGATGTCTTTTTAGATGTCTGTAATGGTATCTGAGTGATGTATATGCATAGTGGCACCTTGGGATATCAGTATTACCCAGCTGAGGCTCCCTCAGAGTGTGGCTTGGCTGTTGCAACTGCTATTATGTAGGATTAACAGGAAATTTCCCATGAGCACTAGGGGTTTTTCTTTAAGATTTTAGTTTCATAAATGCAGCTTACTTACCCACCTCTTTAATTTCATGTTATAATGTGTGGATTGACTTTTATTGTCTCATTAAGTCTCTTCTCTGAGCTGAGACTTCTGGCAACTCCTGCCAACATGCAAAAAAGAATCTTATGGTAGAACTGCCCAGAGAAGGACAGAGTGGGAAAGGCTCTGGACCTCTTGCAGCAATCAAGAATTTCTCTGGGTGACATGAAGCTTTTATCTGAAGTGGCAGCTTATTTAAAGCTGTGTTTATCATCACGCTTTTAGCGCCTTCTGAGTTGACCACAGTAAAATACAGACATTAGAGGGCAGCTCCAGTCATGCACTGAAGGCTGGAGTTGTGTCAAAGTAGCAAGCAATTTCCATGGAAATTAAAGTTGTTTAAAAATCTGATTGAACTGGAAAATGAACTGTGGTTGAGCAGAGAGTGCTAATAAGAACAAAAGCTACCAACTATTATTTTCATGTAGATGGCAGCTAAGTCTAGTATGTGATAAGTCACTATTTAATTAGTTGCTCATGGTTGCTAGCTTCCTTTAGCAATGAGTAAAGTATAAGCCCTAACAGCTCTGTTGAACAGATTTAAATTCCTTTTCCTTCTCTACAGGTATAGTAGCATCCGCAGCATTTGATATTCCAGACAGTGAGGACTTGCATAGATTCTCCTTTGGATGACTGGATAAAGCATCTTAATAATCTTGGAGTCTTGCAGTAGGAGTTAGAAACCATGTTGGTACTGGGATTTATACTCTTTGGTGTACAAGGCCTGCAACTGTGTGATGTATCAGTATGCTTTTTCTCAGTTGCTGATCTGAAGTTGTTTGTATGCAGTAGTTTGGGTGAAGGCAAATGTCATATCAGCTATGTGTTTTGACTTTGTTGATTGTAAATTGGGTTTTGTGTTTGTGTGGCAATTGCACCAGATACTGGAAGCCACTAAAGTGAGATGGTTTCAGGCTAAGAGCTGCACTTCAGTGGAAGGCAAACCTGTAGATCAAGCCAAATCAATCCAATCCAATCCATGAGAACAGGGCAGTCTCAGCTGTGACCTGTGCAGTCTGTTTGCAGTAATCTTAGCAGTGATGCATACTTCCCTCACGGATAAGATTTTTAGGGAGAATGAAATACCATAACCGAAAGTCTCATATTTCTATAAGATTACTGTAGGGCTTAATTAGATGAGCTAATAAATAGCCTTGCAGTTTAAATCTACCTGTCTATTATCGCATGAAAATACAGATTCATTACAGAGTAAGGAATCAGGATGTTCTCTGATTATTTAGGCTAAGTAGGACTTTTCAGTCTATTTCTGTGAACTTCGTTGCAAGTTCTCCGTTTCCTACTCCACCATCTATACTACCATTAGTCACTTCATTGTTGGTTGTGCCCTGGAGGTCCTAAGAACTGTACACTTCTGGCAGTGTTTGTACCAGTGTCTGAGAGGTGAACAGTCTCTCACATGGCTGTTATGCAGCTCTTTTGACTCTGTGAATGTCACCTTCCACCTCTGCCTCTGCCCTTCCCTGTGTTCCTCTCAGATGCCGTCTAGGCAGTGTTCATAATAAACAAGTCTGGTCTGATTTTAGGACATTGTCTTCCTGTGCACTTCTTCATTCTTGTGAAACAGGGAGAATGATAACCGCTGTGTTATTGTTGAATATAAAGTTGTCCATCAGCAAAAAAATGGTTTTCAGAAAGTCTGTAAACCATTCCTTTAGAGCTTTCAAACATAAAGGGAATAACTGACCTGTAAAGTTTGCTTTTATCCTATTAAAATGAAAATGGTGAGTGATGAATAAGAACTCATCCTTTACTTTTTCTCTTCTGGTTTTCCACCCAGAAAGGAAATAATAAACCCTGTCCATTTTCAGTTGCAGCCTGACTTCTTTTGCTTAGTAATGACGAAGTAAACAGCTGAACTGTGCTCTCTGTCTACAGATGCCACGTTGGAAAGATCATGAGTAGGAGAAACTATTCAATACACGTGGGGTTGTTTTTATGTGATGCATATTGACAGTCACTAAGACTCCATTTAGACCTTTCAGGTATGTTGATTGATAGACAAGCCCTCACTGCTAGCTAAAGGATTTGTTCAAAGGTAGGAAACTAAGGCTCGAAACAGTTGATTTTTGTTGAAGCCAGGTTACTGGTAGGATTCTCTACTGACACGTATGAGATACTAGTCTGTTCAACAGACAAAGTAGTGGTCTAGGAAAACAGAAAAAAAGGGATGTTTAGCGGGTAAGACCAATTGTTGATAACTGTAGGGCTAGGTAACACTGGCATGCTGGCTACAAGGAGTTGTACCAGGAACCTCCTGTTGCAAAGTGGCAGATAGCTGCTTGGCAAATAAGAGTCAGTGTACACTGGGAAATTGTTACTCAGACACTCATTAACAGTATTTTTGGGGAAAAAAATCTTAAGTTTATTGTGATCTTGACATAGGGTAACATTTACATAAGCAATGAAGTCTGTTTATGGTGGATTTATAATTCTGTGTACGGTTTGGTCAACTCTGGAGCAGAAAAACAGCCTGGGCAGTCTCTAGAAGGGGCCAGATTTTCTATGCAGGTTGTTAATTGACTCATTAAGATGCATGAATTGATTTGTGCAAAGTGGGAGCTGCCTGCGGGACTATTCAAGAGAGTTCAAAATTCCCACCTGGAGTGCTCCTAGACCAATTAAGTCAAACATTTAACTGCAAAGGCAGCTTGACTTCAGTCAGTCACCTTATTTCAAATTAGTCCATTGTCTTATCTAGGAGAGTGGTTAGTTGGGGAGTAGCTGGACCACCCAGGGAATTAGTATCTGAGTGAGGTGGGTGTTGCACACAAGCTGTGTTACCCAGCAGCACTGCAGTTGTAGCCGTTGGTGTTTTAATTTCATGGTTGTGAATTAAGTTCTATAGTTCGTTCTATAGTTCTTGCCACAAAGTCATGCATATGGGAGAAAACAATTCTACCTTGGTGTCTGCCTTCCTTGCAAACTCATAAAATTACACTGCTTTAGTTTTAAGGTGATGTGAGCGCTGAGGCTGAGACTGTGAGATGCTGGGGCTGGCAGTGCCAGAAAAGAAAACCCTACATGCTAGGAGCAATCCCTAGAAAAGAGGAGACGTGAATAGTACGTGGCCCTGCAAAAGGTTGACACCTGGTTCAGACCAGTGACAGTGGGAGTTAGTGGGAGCTACCAACCTTCCCTCCCTTTCCCTCAAACTCTGACCTCTGGCATGTGTCAGTTCGTTTCCTATTTTAAAGGCTCATCAAGGATACAAGGTCTAATTCATGGTTAGAGCTGTCTGAGAATGCTGCAGGAGGCATGAAGGATCAGTGCATTTGGGGTTATTGTAGGAATTTCTTCTAGTAAAACAGGGAAAGTTGTCAATATGGGCACCATATTCAGACTTACTTGAGAGGATGGAGAAGTAGGTTGGTGTAGTGGGTTGACCCTGACCAGATACCAGGTACCCACTAAAGCCACTCTCTCACTCTCCCTCTGCAACTGGACAGAGGAGAGAGAAAAAAACAGCTAAGAATTCATGAGTAGAGATAAGAGCTGGGAGAGGTCGGTGACTGATTACCTTCACAGGCAAAACAGACTCAAAGTCGGGATAGTACTTAAATATTACTAATAGGATAAGAGCCAAAGAGTGAGAAATAAAACAGTCTTAAAAAACAGCTTCCCCACACCCCTCCCTCTGTGTTCTCCCTCCTCCCCCCCCAGCGGTGCAGGGGGACGGGGAATGGGGGTTATGGTCAGTTGTTGTTTCTGTCGCTGCTCAGAGAGAGGAGTCCTTCCCCTGCTCCCAAACCCCACTTCAGTCTTTGGGAAAGATTTCTTTTTTTGAAAGTACTTTAATTTTAAAAGTCTGAATAGGAAATTATGTAGTCCAGTCTAGTCTGTAATTAATTGTCTCAAAAAAATTTTTTTGGAATGTTTTTGTTTTCTCTGATTCTCTGTCCTATGCATGGTTGTCATGGTTAGGGAAGTTTATAATTAACAGTACCTGTGGGACTAAAGAGTCTTATTCCTCCTCAACACTTCCAGGAGACTGTTGACTTTGTTTGCTCTTAAAGACAAATTGTTCAGTCAAGTTCTATTCTTAGAATAATAACTGAGTTAAATTTTAAAAACTCCCTCTCCCCCAGTATTTTAAATAATGCTTGTACTTATTTTATGTATTAATGCATCATTTTTCCAGAAAACAGACTAAATTGAACCCATTTATTTAAATATCTTTGGTTTTCTTTGAAGGTGTGTGAAAGAACAGATAACTAACGAGATGTAAAATGTTCCTTTTTATAGAAATGAAAGGTGCTAAATATATGTTTCTGTTTTTACAGGCTAAAGCCTATCTAAAGATAGCTATGGAAATAGTAAGAAGACTGCCAGTACCTCCTGCTTGAAGTATTTACCACAGAAACTTGCAAAAAAAGCCATCTGTGTTGCAACCAATGCAGAAGAGTCCTGCTACCTAATAATGTGGAGGCCATACCTTAGTTTTAAGAACTTCTTTAGGAGTTAATTTACCAGAGATTAAATTAAGATTGTGATATTTACTGGTTTTTGAATCATTGCTTGTCCATGTCCAAAGGGATTGAAGTGTGCAAACAATGATAGACAGTATTTAACTGCTGAATTGTAACATCATCAAGCATTTTTCACGTGTGCTATTTTATGAATGAAAACCAGCCTCTCCACTCAAGGAGAATGATGAGAGGTATGCCAAAGGATTAATCCTGCTTAAAAACTTAAATTTTCAGTACTCTTAATTTCTTTCAGTTTTGGTTCAGCTTTTACATAGTTATCTATCAAACTGACCCTAAGTTCTGCAAGATTTTAACAAGAAAAGTCAGTTGTGCAACCGCTGTACTTTTTGTGTGTTCACCTTATAAGAAAATTTTAAAAATTCCACATATACTCTGAAGAGTTCTTGTGATGGATGGTGATCAGATTTATTCATTATCAGATCAAGTTCGATCATGAGGCAATTCATGGTTTAGTGAAGAATGGATTACATGACCCCGAGGCTTATTTCTTGACTGTTTTGCATTATAATGAACCCAGACAGAAGACCAGGTAACCGAGGTCTTCACTGAAAACCAGATGTTTTGCCTGGTCTCAGTTTGACAGGGAATACAAATGATCAAGATAAATTAAATTTGTGATTGCATATTCCTACTACAGTGCAGCGACTTGGAATTTGAATATAAAGATATATTTTTGAAGTAAAGAAATATTTGGTCTTCAAACTGCACAGCCTTCTGGTTTGTTTTTTCATTGCCTTTAATCTTTATTTTTGTGTTAATGTGTGGAAGTAAAAGATTATGCCTTCAGGGAATGAGTTTCCATTTACAATTAGATGTTTGAGTTGACATTTAGGCTTTTTCATTTACACAATCAAGTATGAGTATCTTAAACATGCATGTTAACCATACCATACTGTGAATTTAACCATACTAGGGAGTTCTGCTGTTGACCTCTGAGGAACCAAGGTTTTCCCTGTATTCCAAATACTTATTCAGGATTTTGGATGAATTGTTTTTTATTACTGAAGTGATACAGCATAAAAGTTGGTATAGATTTACATTAAGAATATTTAAGTAATATGTACTCAGAATTTGCATGGAAAATCTAGGCACAAATGATGAGTTGAATTTCAAGCTTAAGTGATTTTGTAAATGTGTAAATTACATAGTCCAAAACTGTGGATTTTTTACTTCAAGTCAATCTCTGAACCTCTTCGCCTTCAGCCTTCCCCGTGCAATCTCATAGCAGTGATCAGTTATTTCAGTAGTATATTATCCCAGGCCCATAAATTTACAAAAATACTCCCTTCCTTTCAGTTGTCTGATATATTTTACAAAAATTAAAGCTGGCTTTGTGTTCTACCCTTTCATACTTTATTGATAACATTTTTTAAAATTAAATTTTATCTCTCTATATTTGTTCACTTTGCTTTACATATCGTAATTGCTGATATACCTGTCTCTAAGTAATCCTGTGGTGGTTCTGGTATATTATAACCATAAATTTCAGTTGAAAAACTGGGATTTCTGGCTGGTTTTTAATTTAAGACAGTGATATAGTCTGAATGGTTAGCATTTGTTATTTTCATTCTGTTAAAAAGTTTTTGAATGTCTCTGACATCCAGTTCATGTTGAGACTGGATGAACAGTCAGTATACAGATAGATAGTTGTTTGCTTTCCCTTTTGTTTTTTTTCTCATTATTTCTTGAGTTAGTTGAAGGATGAAATTTGCTTTCAAATGTCCTTTTATTTTTACTCCTTTTTCTCTTTTTATTCCCCTTTTAATTAAGTACTGTGGTTTTGCTCTGTTGCATCTTTCAACTGCAGAACTATTTTGAATGCCTTTATCAAGGAACTGGTTCTAATGATTAAACATAGTTTCTGTGCCAGTCTCTGAAAATTCATATTTAGTTAACAGTTTTGTGGAAGGATTGCACAATGTAGTAAATTTATTGATTGAAAATTGTCAGTCATTTTCAATAAATATACATAATTGTACAGAGTTGGTTTAAGTGCATTTAAGGGTAGCAATGGTCAAATCAAACTTAAAATGAGAATATATTGCTTTACTTCCCTCATTCTCATAACTGAAAAACTGTTTCCCAGCTCTTTTCCTGCAAAGTAAGTGAAGGGCATTAACAGAGTGTTACTACTGCTTAATGTTATACAAACACATATTCATATTTTTTATATTACATGTATATATGTTAAGTATATATTAATGAATTCTAGTCAACATACTACATTTGAAATTGTAATTCATAAAATCTTTTATGTAAGTTGTATGGTGGGGTGTTTGGATCAGTCAGAGGTTTAGCAGGAGAAAGTAGTATTTAACTATAGCTTATAAATATAGATTATAGACTTGACACACAGTGCTGTTTGCTCTTTTCAACTCCAGTATTTTACTTTAATCTCAGTAATATTTCCTAGTGTACTAGTAAGTTGTTTTCTAAAAATGGTAATCCTAACAAGAGGGCCTGGTGTGCATAGGTAGGTGCTCTTTGCTCAGAAGCAATGGAGACTTGCTGCAAAAGTGCTGTGATCATGGGTTACTGGCACAGAATTATTAAAGTCTGTAGCACTGTGAGCTGCAGTTACACACTGGAAAATCCCACAGAGGAAGGAAGAGAAAGAAATAGGAGGGTTAGGGAGGCACGGGATCAAACAGGCAGGAATAGGGACAGAGGCCAGTCAGTCCCAGTTTACCTCCAGTGTAGGTTAACAGCAAGATCCTCAAGAGCCCCTTGCATCGCTGTCAGACTTAGTTTTGCTTTCACCACATGGCCCTTTGTATGGTGACGACAGTTCCTGTGTTTGCAGATAATTTCTGCTGTTTCTTGGGTGAGGAGCATATGGGCTGTGTCTTAAGATAGTGCATTTCCTGGCTTTCAAAAGTTTCAGTTTTGATGAAAATTAAGCTGAAAGAGAGTATAGAATTGTTTGAGTGAGTGAAGTATATTGCTATAAGATTTTTACTGAAATGTTCAGCTCATTGTGAATTGGTCAGCCTTTGAGACTATGGTTTGTGCAATACTTCAGATGTTAGACTTCTCACAACAAAACATTTTTAATTGTTATTTGAAGTTATGAGAGAAAAGTAGTTTGCAAGTCAGTTTATCTCTACTAATTCGAGTTCAAACTACAGCCCATTGTAGTTGCTCTGATTGGTGATCATGATTATGAATTAACATTCATGCAGAGAAGAAATGGCAAAGTAGGTCATCTTCAGTATATTAATGAAAAACTCCTGTAGTTCGGACCTTACTTCAAATAGCTGGATTCACTTGGATCCAGTTCAGCAGGTGAAACCCTCTATAATATCTTTCCATTAGTAAGTTTGGTTTTCACCTTGACCTGCTCAAACTCACTGTTAGGTTTTTGCTGTTTGTGATGAATGCAGTTGGTGCTGATTAGAAAAGGCTTTGATCTGAGGCAGCTGCTGTGTACTGGTTTGTTGGTAAACTGTGTTCAGGGCCCCCTAATATAAACCAAAGGCTGCAATCAAGGCAGCGGCAAAAGGGAATAAATAAGAGGTGAATCTTGTGCCAGTGGGAACATCTCCAGGTTCTAGAGAGGCTGCCCATTACAGGGCTTGCCAGGTGCAAGAATGTATGTGGAAGAAGAACAACAGAAGAGCAGCAAAAAAGAAAAACCCTTCTGTTGCTTAGGAGAAAGATTAAAGTGCTGTGAGAGGCTCTGTGGGCTACAGAACTGATGAGCAAAGGTTAAGGCGCTGAAGATGCTGTGCAACAATTTAAAGGGGATTTTGGTACTTGCTCAGGCTGTGCAAAGCTTCTGTCAGAGCATCCTCAACCCTGAGGCTGACACATGAGCTCAGTACCCAAGTACCGAAGTCCGCAGGCAATGCTCCTGTCCTTTTAGGTGCTGGTGGGGGTAGGATCTCCATGCTTATTTTTCCACATCGTTTGCTGTAGTTGTCCAAGGTGCAAGAAACTTGTTCTACACTCAGGTTTAGCTAAAGATTCAAATTCGTAGCTCCTAAACTTAGAAGAGATCCTCAACCACTTGGCTTAGTCTTTGCTAAGGACCATCATGGAACATGCAGCACTTCTGATAAGCCTGTATCGCTTGTGGAAAAATAAGGAACATCGTCCTAATCACACCTAATTATTTTTAGCCTAATGACTTGGGCTGGGTTTTGATCTTGCTCCCAGCCTTATTGATGTCTTTTACCTAATGAGACTGTGAATAAAATTATCAATGGTTAGGCTAATGCCTGGCATTTGAGCTGCTTGCTGATGTGAAATAAGGCTCTGGGGTTTTGCTTTTGTGATTTTGATACCCATGTGTCATTCTAGTTTCTCATGGCCACATCTGGGCCTATACTGTTGTCATCATTTTTATTTAACAGGAATACTGCCTAGTGGAGATGGTTAGGGGGAAAGGCTTTGCTTAAGAATGCTTGACCATAAGATGAATCTGAATTGCTGATTTAATTTCAGAATTGACTTATAATGGTAGGAATTATAATGATAATTATGTTTTATTTCGGCAGCGTATCAGCCAAGGCCCCGATATGTCAGCCATGTATCACAAAAAACACAGCAAAAGAAAAAATTAATTCCCAAAGTAGTTTTCAGCCTAAATTTAAGACTTGCTTCTTTTTTTTTAACCTCTGTTTTGCATTATAAAAATATTAAGTCTGAAGAAAAGGTATATTCAAAGGTCTGTATTTTTCCATTAGCTTCACATATTCTGAGAGGGTTTTTTTTTTCCAGCAAGAAGAGGACAGGCACAGCCTGTCCTTCCTTATGCACCTATTCCTCTAATTTTCTGTTTGTATGAGTCTGGATCTGAATACCCACTTTAATCAGTGCAAATAGATTACTTCTCCTAGGGAGTGCATGAGTCTTCGAACAAGCTAGTGGGGAGGGAGAACATCTGTTGTCCTTTAACATTGTTTTGAGGGCTTAGACATCTGTTTGAAGTGTTTTCACTCATACCACTGGGATTTTCTAAAACTTGTATTATTTCCTGTGGTCCAGAGGTTGTCTCTTTTCTTTGAGAGAAAGGCCGGAGACTCCCCATGCTTGCCTCTTCCATGTATGCTTCCTGTTACTAAACAAGGTCTGTTTTACAGATACAAACTTCCGGTTACTTTTCCTGAAAAGTGTTAGCTTATAAATCATGACTTTCTAATGACATTTATAAGTACTTTTTAGGGACTATTTCTTTCCCCAAGTTAATATGGAAGAAATACTAAAACGTATTTTTAAAGCCCAGTTTAACTGCATATTTAGGAGTAATAAACAGGGTGAGAAACTATCCTATTAAGCCAAACCCACAGTCTGTAGGTGTAATTTTGGAGTGTTCGTCCACTTTGTAAATGTTGCAAGTATTTTTCATCTCATTAAGGGAAAATGTTAAATGAACTAAAGTTCAGGAGCCTGAATGTTCTCCTGCTCCCCAGTAAGCATTTGAGGGTGACGTGAGATCTGTCTGTAGGCTGTTTTCTGCATTGATTTATCTGCTGAATCAGGAAGTTTATACCTGTCTCTTCTTAGAGGGGGAATTTCCACATAAACGGGTTTTTGTCTGTGATTGGCTTGAGGCCTCTAATTAATTACATTTCAGATGAAGTGGGGAGATTATGGGTTTGTACTCTCTACTTCCGCCTGTAGGATATTAGGGCCCAATGGCTATTTTGGAGAGTTACTTTTTAGAACAAGTTTTAAAAGGCTGGAAGAATGTGCCTTGTAAGCATCTAGGCTTTGAAAACTTAGTCTAATAACCCTACATTTATTTGTGAGTGCCAGCACTACTGGCATCTCTTTTGTAATGCCTTAATATCCTAAGCTTTTAGGAAGCCTGTGAATTGTGGCTTGTTTGCACTTTTTTATAAATGCGTGTTTTACAAATGCATTTCTGCTTAACACAGACAGTGTTACTTCATTTTTGGCTTAATTTCTCAACAGTGTAAATAAACCTCTTTTTGTAAAGCAGTTTTCCTTGCCTATTGGTAATGCATCTAGAAAGTTATTCCTCTAGAGAAAGAAATGACAGGGCTGTTTGATGCTGAATACCTTCTTCCCTGTCAGGTTAATACAGGAAATTGTAGTTGTTGTTTCAGTGAATATTGTTGGTTTTGTTACCCTGATGGGAAATATATCTTCATTAAAACAAAATGAAACTGCTGATAAAATGTCTTTTAATTATTTAGAGCTTGTAGCTCATGAACTTTGAAAACAGTACACTCTAGAGTAATTTCTTTAAAATATTCCCATTTATAGACTTTTTAAATATATATTTTTTAAAGAAAGTAGTGGTATTAAAGATGTTTGGACAAGCTCTTAGCTGTTGAAATGGATTGCTTTCCACTGCCTGAAAAGGTCTGCCATTTTCACAAAGAATATGAGTCAGTGAAGTTATGTATTATTGCCCATCAGTGCCTGCGTACAGAATCCTAAGTATGAGTCTGCAGTAGCAGGTGACAGGAGGGTAGAGAGATGACGTACCAGTATTTGCCTGGAATGACCTCATGCCAGGAAGTAATAGGAATTTGTTTGGCAAAGCAAAAATAAAAGCAGGCTTACATTTTTAGTGAAGGCAGATGGGTCAGGGCAACGCAGGGAATTCGTCTTAGCTGATGAATGCGACTGGCATATAAAAGGAAATAAAACATTATACTTGAGAAATGAAATAGAAAATGAATCTTTCCCACTTCTTCCAGAAATATATGGCCATGTGACCTGGGGTGCGTGGCACACTGGGGATGTGTTGATTCTAGTGCTTCAGAAAGGTGACAGGACTCAGCAGATCATCAGGAGCCCTCATTTATGACACAATTTCTGCATGTTAGGGAAGCAATTGAAAAATGTATTTACAAGTGAATTGTTGAACACAATTGCTGCAGAAGGTTACTTGAGGAATGAAATGTCTCAGTTCTTGGTCAGTCTGCTTTACATCAGATAACGTGCCATCCCAAGATGGTCATTTATTAAAGTTAGCATTTTAGCTGTCTTTACCGCAGGAACTGAAGTTGAATGCAGTAACAAGATACATATTATCTGCAAAGTACTTCTCCTGACACCGTCATGATACCAAGTGTCAGGAAAATTTTGAATACCTTACTGAATTATTGTACCTGAGCTTAATATGCAGTAACTTGAAGTTTCATTCTATTCCCATCATTTTTTCTATACAAAGCATATCATGTTTTCATTTCCAGCACTTTATGCCTGTTGTTTGTTCCTCACATAAAGATAAAAAGATTTATGTACAGGGGCTCCAAGAGGGAATTTCATGCTTTGACATGAGATTATATAATTTTCTTCAAAACAGAATGGTCAGCAATAGGGTTGTCTTTGTTTTCTGTTTTGTTTTGAGAACTAGTCACCAGAAGATAAGATACCAATTGGACATAACTTGGATAGTGAGACTGGAATTCTTCTAACCAGGCGCTAGTTGTATCTTGAGAAGACAAACACGAAGCTCTTTTTTTTGAGTATATGAATTTGTTTTTTTATTGGCATGGAAAAAATAAAGAACTGTGGTAGATAAAATGTAATCCTTTGATTTGAAAATCATATGAGTTAATTGTCATGGTTAAGTATCATGAAAATACACCTACTGAATCCAGGTTTTTTGATGCAGCATGTGCATGTGCTGGCCCTGGAGGAGTCAGCAGCATTCAAACAGAAGTTACTACCTCTTAAGTAAACTCCAAGCTCATTCTGTGATTTGCTGTTAAGAAAAGTCACACCCTGAACTGTGTCAGCATTGAACCTTTAGACTGTAGGTTCACATTTCCCTAACACAGGAAGTGACTCGCTGAAATGTTTGTTCTTCACCTTTCGATCTACTTTCCTCAGGAAAACAGGGATCTATTTACTCCACAATGTGTTGGTGCTTCTTATCAGACTGTAAAATGTCCCTGCCAGGCCAGGCATTGGTCAGTATTTGTTAGTAGCTGGTATTCTGTTTGTAGAAGGCCAGTTGCTGTATATAATACTTGGGAAGCATGTTCATATTCTGGTGTAGACCTGGCAGTTGTTACAGGCCATGATCTTTGCTTTGATTTGCTTTCTATTTGAGTAATGCTGCATTATTTGCAGGCAATGTGTGGCCCTGTAATTCGAAAGTGTTACCATTCCCAAGATAAAATCCTGCACTGAGAATGACCCTCTGGAAATGACATCTTACCCTTGTAACTCCACTGCTTTGGGAAGAGCTCTGCATGGGCACTTGGAGAGTGTGGCAGAGCTGTCCACTTTTATGAAGGACTTACTTGAGCCTGTTAAGACACAGAGGTAGCTGAGGATCAACAAAATGGTATGAGGAAATAGCCTGCCATGTTATGTTTGAACATGAAACTACTAAGGATGGAAATTTGGAGGAAATCTGGAATCTCTCTGCTGTTTGTGGTTTGTTGACACTGGCTGTATGCTAGGTGCCCACCAAAGCATCACCATCACTCCACTCCTCAGCTGGACCGGGGATAGAGAATATAATGGAAGGCTCGTGGGTCAAGATGAGGACAGGGAGAGATCACTCGCTAATGACAGTTGTAGGCAAAACAGCCTCAACTTGGGGAAATCAGTTTAATTTATTACCAATCAAATCAGCATAGGTTAATGAGAAATAAACACAAATCTTAAAATACCTTTCCCTCATCCTTACCTTCTTCCTGGACTCTGCTTCATTCAGCTCTCTACCTTTTCCCCAGCAGCAGCACAGGGGGACAGGGAGTGGAGGCTGCAGTCAGTTCATCTCACATTGTCCCTGTTGCTCTTTCCTCCTCGGGGAGGACTCCTCACACTCTTGCCCTGCTGCAGCGTGGGGTCCCCTTCCACAGGAGATAATCCTCCACGAACTTCTCCAAAGTGAGTCCTTCCCATAGGCTGCCACTCTTCATGAACTGCTGCAGTGGGGGTCCCTTCCATGTGGTACATTCCTTCAGGAACAAACTGCTCCAGTGTGGTTCCCTTGCGGGACCACAGGTCCTGCCAGGAGCCTGCACTAGCGTGGGTTTCCTGCAGGATAACAGCTTCCTTTGGGCACCTCCACCTGCTCCAGTGTGGGGTCCTCCATGGGCTGCAGGTGGATCTTTGCTTTGTTGTGGTCCTCCATGGGCTACAGGGGCACATCCTGCCTCACCACAGGCTGCAGGGAAATCTCAGCTCTGGCGCGGGGAGCACCTCCTCCCACTGCTCCTTCACTGACCTTAGTGTCTGCAGAAGTGTTCCTCTCACATTCTCACTCCACCCTTCTCTGGCTGCAACTTGCTTCTGCCCAATAATTTCTTTTCCCTTCTTAAATACATTATCCCAGACAGAGGTGCTACCACTGTCCAGCAGCATGTCCATCTTGGATTCAATACCTATCCTGAGGTTCAACTGCAAAAATAGGAGAAGGAGTACATGTGTGATTGGTTTCTGTTTAAATAACTGTAAGTTTTGGAAAAAAGCCTTTACTATTCTAATGTGCACTTGTCAAGCACTACTTCAATAAAAATGTGAACACACTTCTAACTACTGCTTTTATTGCTCTCCAAGTAATTTTGAAAGTATGTTGTTTATAATCTTAAAAGAACTGTTTTCTTTTAAAAAGCGACAGTGTTTAATATGTTCAACTAAGAAAACTCAAAAACTGTTTATGACATAATTCTATAGTTTCTGATGGGGCATATGAAGTCCATATTTTCTATAACCTCTGCTCTATAGCTTAGTGCCACTAAGATACAAAATAATACAGCCTGGCATCCAGGGGGGGATCCAGAAGGGGTCAACATAAATTGCAAAGAAGTAGATTTGCTGTTTGCATTGTAGCATAGAGAAGGTAAGAAGTTGCCTGCATCTCAAAGCCAAGCTCTAAGAGTAGTCATCTCTCTGCAAATTAGAAAAAATATTGTGAATACTAATTCCTAATTTTGAAAAAGAATTTATTTCACTCCATGATGTGTTGTGGAGGACCGGATCACTCTCTCTCTGTAGAAGGCCAGTTAACAACTTGACAAGACAGCAGCAGTGTTCCCCTAGCAATGAATGCTGAACTCTTCAAGAGGATTATTTCATTTTGATTAAGATCAATTTTTTGTCATAACTGTACACAAACTATTTGATTCAGTCCTTGGAACTGCTGGATTTTTACTTCCAGGGATTCTGTCCACAAGACATCCAAGACTTTAATTTGGCACATGGTCCAAAAGTCATGGACAGACCTCCAATCTGAGGGGCACAGCTTTGTGTGTGCATTGGAGGAATTGCATCGTGTCACCCAGGAATCTTCTGCCTGGCTCACTTCAAGCATTACTTCCCCTAAGGGAGTTTTGAGCATTTGTGCTCTTTTAATGAGCTGCATTGGAAGATACTCTTATGAAGCAGCAATTCCACAGGAGCCAAAATACTGTCAAAGCTACTTCATCCTGGAACTTGTATTAGCTGCTCATTACCAGTGTTTGTGCATATGGGCCTACATACCAGGTCCAAAGCCCTCTACTCAGTGCAGATGGTCAAATGCTTCTGACAGATAAAAGCTCCATTCTGAATCGATGGTCTGAACACTTGCAGACTCTTTTCAGTACTAGCCGTGTAGTTCAAGACTCATCAATTCAGTGCATTACACAGCAACCGGTGAAGAATGAATTGGATACTGTCCTTACTATAGGAGAAACTCTTAAGGCCATACAGCAGGTGAAAACTGGCAAGGCAGCTGGGGTTGGTGGAATTCCACCTGAAGTCTGGAAGCATGGGGGCCAAGCACTCCATGCTAAATTTCACGAGTTTGTGGTGCGCTGTTGGGAAGTAGGCGAACTACCATCAGACCTTCGCGATGCAGTCATCATCACTTTGTATAAGAAGAAAGGAGATAAATCAGACTGTTCAAATTACCGTGGTATTACTCTGCTCTCCATTGCTGGCAAAATCCTGGCAATACTTTTGAACAGACTAATACCTGCTATAGCAGAAGGAATTCTACCTGAAAGCCAATGTGGTTTCAGAGCCAACAGGAGTACCACGGACATGGTGTTTGTTCTCAGACAACTGCAAGAGAAGTGTAGGGAACAGAACAAAGGTCTCTATATAACCTTTGTTAATCTCACCAAGGCTTTTTATACTCTGAGCAGAAAAGGTCTATGGCAGATTTTGGAACATTTAGGATGTCCCCCCAAGTTCCTTAAAATGATCATCTCACTCCATGAGGATCAGCACGGCCAAGTCAGATATGGCAATGCACTTTCTGAGCCCTTTCTAATAACCAATAGTGTGAAACAAGGCTGCGTTCTTGCACCTACTCTGTTCACAGTCTTTTTCAGCATGATGCTCCAAAGGACCACGGCAGACCTCGATGATGAAGATGGTGTCTACATTTGATACCGTAGCAACGGAAGCCTATTCAACCTAAGGTGACTGAAGGCCCACACTAAGAGACCTTAAATCATCTTGTCCGGGAGCTGCTTTATGCTGACGATGCCGCCTTCCTCGCCCACACAGAAGTAGCTCTGCAGCATTTAACATCCTGCTTTGCTGAGGCTGCTGAGCTTTTTGGGCTGGAAGTCAGCTTAAAGAAGACTGAAGTTCTCTATCAACCTGCACCTCAGGAAGTCTTCCATCATCCCCATATCACCATCGGCCAATCAGAGCTCAAATCAGTCCAGCAGTTTAATTACCTAGGCAGCCTCATCTCCTTGGATGGTAAGATTGACGGAGAGATAGACAACAGGTTAGCAAAGGCATACAGTGCTTTTGGAAAACTCCATAAAAGAGTTTGGCAAAATAAACATCTGAAGAAAAGTACCAGGATCAGTGTTTACAAAGCCATTGTGCTGTCTACTCTTTTATATGGATCCAAATCATGGGTCATCTACTGCCACCACCTGCAACTCTTAGAATGCTTCCATCAATGCTGTCTCCGCACCATCCTAAACATCCACTGGTCAGATTATGTGACTAATATGTCTGTTCTAGAACAAGCAGCAGTCACAAGTATTGAGGCCATGTTGCTGAGAACACAGCTGCGTTGGGCAGCGCACATCTCAAGGATGAAGGACCACCGCCTCCCTAAGATCTTGCTCTATGGTGAACTTGCCACAGGCTGCTGCATGAGAGGAGCCCCGAAGAGGAGATACAAGGACTCCCTGAAACAACATCTCAGCCTTGGCCATATTGATCAACATAACTGGTCTACTCTGGCCTCCAATCGTGAGGTCTGGAGACACACCATCTATAACGCTGCTGCGTCTTTTGAGAACTCACACAGGATCACTCTTGAGGAGAAAAGACAACACAGAAAGAATTGTGTCTTGCTGATACCACCTAAGGAGTGTTTCTGCTGTGCCTTTTGCAACTGGATTTGTCTATCTCTTATTGGCCTATTTAGCCACCAGCGTGCTTGCAGCAAATGTGGGTAGAGCCCTTCCCAAATCTTTGTTCATGAAGCCTAGTTGTGATGATGACCAGTGTTTGTGATTTTGTTTTCTTCAGCTGTTTTGGTGTAAGCAATGTCAAGTGATCTGATAACAGCAGAAAATCACAGTGCTTTCAGAGGGTTAGATGCAGTTTAAGTGTATTTCTAGCAGTTAGTGATGATCTGCAGACTAGCGTCTCTTTGTGAGGGTCACCATTCTGCAAAGCAATCCAGGTGCCAGCCTGATGGCACAGTTTGTCGGGGCACTGATGCTGCTGTTTCGGTGCTGTTGACTGGCCCAGTTTCATGCAAAACAGGTGTGAGGTAGTGCTGCTCTGCTTTGAGCCCCCAGCAGCACAGAGGCTCATCAGAGTCTGATGCAGTGATTCGGGTGGTCTTGCTAAAGGGAAGCTCATGTGGACTGCAAAACGTTGTGTACATATTGGTGTTTGTAATATACACACTGGACCAACCCCCTTCCTTGTGTTACAGGGGTTCAAAACACAACTCCTTCTGAGAAGGGGAAAATTACCCCCCTTAATTCACTGAGGAAGCTATAAAATGGAGGTGCTTTTCCTAGCATTTCTTGGTCTAAGAAATTTTCCCAACCAAGTGACCCCTTGGGAGACAGAGTAGGCTGTGGGAATGGGCCACCAGCGCTGGGGCTCAGTGACAGGCTGAGCCAGGCTCATCTTCTAGAGCCCATGATGGGGGCATGGCCCAGTCCTGCTACTTCCTGATGGATTTCACTCTCTAGTTCTCTAGAGATTGTAAATCGAATACATGTGTTACAGATCCCTTTTGTGTCCTGCCCGACACTTCCTGCCCCTTCCTTGGGACTGGTGAGAGATGTTTGTGTCAGATATGGTCTGTTTGTATGTTCCACACTTGATGGATGGGGACAGTCATGACAGTTTCAACAGGGAATGAAGCTCTGTATGCAAAGCTGAGTACTGGGAGTACATGGAAATACCAAGATACACAGGAGTCTGTGTGTGTGTTTGCAAACTAACTGCAGGTTTTATTTAAAGAAAAGTGTCCCATAGCTGCATGGTTTTCATTAGGAGGCAAGGAAGAGGGAGAGCAGGAGTGCGGATTTGTGGTTGCACAGGGAAGCTCTCACACAAGTAAGCTCTCACACAAGTAACTAATGCAATAATTCTCTGAGTTAGAAATCTAATCTAACTCCTCTCTTTCAGAGAAGAACGTCACATTTTTTTTTTCTCACAATGACTGTGAGAATCACTCTTCCTGCTATAACTTCCCAAAGTGAAGAGAGGTTTCCTGTCATAACTTTAATCTCACTATTCTATTAGGGTATGAAATAACAACCTTTACTAATATAAAAGGAAGTAAATGGCTTTGGGGCAGGTTTTTTACCTGTAAGGTTCATTCTGCACTGCAAGCATCTTAGAAATCACCGTTACATTGTTGAGCTGTTATGTCATGTAGAGTCACCTTTTTAACGTTAAAGTCATGGCTCCAAACTCTTCAGCAGCTCTGCACAAGCAATTTTAGGGTGGGATGACTCCCATTGTCTGGTCCTTCTGCTCCATCAACAAGGTTATTTCTTTAAGTGGCTATAACAGAATGAAATAACACATAGCTGTTAATCTCTTGATTATATTATTGTCTTTGATAGGAATAGGATTAAAAAATCAGATTACATTTCTTAGAAATTTGCTGGAGTGCTTCTTGCTTCTTTGGAGCTAGCCACACAACACATGTAAACTTTATTCACGGAGGGGCAGGTACGTGAGAAACGAACATTCATTCATAAAAAACCTTTCCCTTCTAAAAGCCTTCATTGACTTTTCTTTTACCTTTCATTATTTAAAAAACAAAAAACCAAAAAAAAACCACCACCACCCAAACCTCCCTGGTTTCTTACTTTTTTCCCGCTTTCTTTAAATGACTCAGTTATTATTCAACAGAGAACACTGAGCTAGGTCTTAGGTATAAGTTCTAAATAACGCACAGCTTTGCAACTGGCAGCAACATTTGGGTGAAGACTTTCAGAATGCACCAACCCAAGCAGGTATAGTCATTTCAGGTAGATTCCATTAATTTAATTCTTTATGAGAAAATGCTTTTTTTTTTTCTTGGCTTTATCTTCAT